ACAGACACTCTATGGTCAATGTGGAGGGTAAGTGAGCACATTGTTTATATGCCATGGAATTGCCTAACCAAAGAGTTAGGACTGGATGGACTGGTGCTACAACCTGTGTATCAGGATCCTACTGCCAATACAGTAACGAATGGTACTCACAGTGCGTACCTGGTACCGCAAGTAGCACATCGACTACCAAGACTTCTACTACGACCACCAAAGCGACAACCACAAGCACCTCGACAGGTTCGGCGTCCACCTCCGTCCGAACCAGCACGCCCTCTGGATGTCTCACTGTCCGCGGTAGTGGAACCAAGTCTGGCGAATATAGCACCGTCGCTGCCGCTCTGACCGCTCTCGGCTCGGGAACCACTGCTCAATGCATCTTCATCTACAGCGGTACATACACTGAGCAGTTGACCATTAACTACAAGGGTGCACTCACCATCTACGGTTACACGACAAACACCGGCTCCTACGGCAGTAATACTGTGACTATCACCTACGGCCAGACATCCAGTGCAGCTGGAAGTCTCGACAAGTCCTCGACGGTCAATATTACTTCTGCCAACTTCAAGGCCTACAATATCAACTTTGTCAACTCGTATGGTGCTGGCACGCAAGCCGTCGCAGTCACTGCTAATGGCGACAAGCAAGGTTACTACGCTTGTTCCTTCAAGGGGTATCAAGACACCTTATACGCCAAGTCCGGTAAACAATACTACAGCAACTGCTACATCGAGGGTGCAGTCGACTACATCTTTGGTGACGCCACAGCTTGGTTTGGCGAATGCAGAATCGCTTCAAATGGCGCTGGCTACATTACTGCCATGTCTCGTGAGACCTCTAGTGATGGGAGCTGGTATGTCTTTGACCACAGCACAGTAAGTGTGATGAGTAACATGTAGCAATAAATGCTAAAGTTGATCATTTAGATTACTGCTGCATCGGGCGTCAGCGTGGCGGGTAAGGTTTACCTCGGCCGGCCATGGCGTGTCCTCGCTCGTGTCATCTACCAATACTGCGAATTGACCAATGTCGTAAATGCCGCTGGATGGACCACTATGGCAGAGGGTGCTACTCCTCTCTATTATGAGTATCAGAATACTGGTGCCGGTGCAAGCACGTCTAGCCGCAAGTACTTGACTGCTACCAATGTTGTAGTGACCAAGGATACTCTA